TGTCTGGTTACTGAAAAAAATTTAGTAAGAATAAGTAAGGGAAAGATTCAACCTTCTAACTTTCAACAGAGATACAAAGACACAAAAAATATAACAATAAGGGATCCTGTTGCTTTTCAGTCATTTTGCTTCCCAATTTTACGAGAAGGCAAGAAAGAATTTTTATAAAGTTTTGTTCATGACAAACACAATAACCTGTTCTGGTCTTGACCCATAACTGAGTAAACAGTGAAAATACTGGAATAACAAAACAACTGTTTTATGAACTTTTCCTTTGTGCTCCCCCTTGGGAATAGGCATCGGGCAGCTTTCCAGCAATAAATAGAACAGGGTCTAAACAAGTGCACGTTTAGGGGTAAGTTGAAGCTAATGAGGAAATCTTAAAAGTGCTGATGGCACCACTGGTCAAAGGATTTACAGATGCAACCAACACACCCCATTCCCTCTCCGGTTTGTGATCCCAAATGGAATAATGTTCACAAAGGACTGAGCCCCAGGCCTGGCCAACAGTCACCGTGTCAGTTTCCCTCTCTTCCGCTTTCTTAGGCTGACAAACATTTTTAAACTCTTCAGTTTGGGGATTCTGCTAAAGATAAGCACATGGTAGAGCTCCAAGGACCTCTAGGACATTTTTTGGAACATGGTATTGGACCCTGTTAATGGAGAGAACTTTTGTAAAAGAGCCATCAATCGCAGCAGAGTCATATTTAAATCCCCAAACGATAATCACTGCTCTAGGGCAAGAAATAAAGGCCTTATTTTGAATAATAATTTTGAGAGCCACTTCTCAAAAAGAGTTTAACATCCTTGGTTTGGGGTCACCTCTGAAACCTAGTGCAACTCGCCTTTTTTACTCACAGCCAGTAAGATCACCATTCAATTCTACAGGACAGACCATTTGTTTTTCTGCCCATGTATGAGGCCCATCTAACAGAAAAAAACAAACCCTCACATACACTTACTTCGGAGGCCCAGGAGGAAAGGACTGTGCAGAATTTTAAATCAGAAATCTAACGCTTAGGTTAGTAGTGTCAGGTTAAAGGCTCACCCATTCCCCAAAGCTAATTCGGTTCTGAACGGTCCCATGGGTGTCTAGCTGAACAGAAGCAGCTAGGAAACCTTAGCAGGCCAAAGCCCAGCCTGGGGAATTGCTGGGACTCCGTGCCAGAGGCTGAGGCTCACCCCAGACTTGGTATCAGATAATACCAACTGCTAGTCTGGATTTCCAGGACTAATCTACTCGAGGTTGGAACTTCCAGGTTCCCTGGTGTCTGTGCTATACAGTGGGAGGACTCTGGGCTTTGTAGATTCACGCTGTGGTTGGCTACTATCATATTTAATAACACACAGAAAGAGTGTGTTCGCAGCAATGATTCATGGGGAAGGGGAACAGAAGCATGGGGCGGGGGGTTACCTAAGAGGAAGTAGAAAGCTTTCTAAATTTTCTAGAGATGCAGTTATCACAAGTTTCTTTTTCTTGTAATTCTAATGTGAGTTCTTAAATGTGTTTACAGGTTCTCTAAATTTTAAAGACATTCTATCAATAGTAGAATTGATAGTAAATTCAGCACCTGTATTTACTCAGAAGGCTCTTTGGTTTCAAAAGCAGTTTCTTCTCATCTCATCCCCCTCTGACCCTTCTCACCCTGAAACTACTCACATCACTCCTTTCTTCTATGGAGAAATGCGAAGTCTGCCTCTACATAACTTCTTAAAAACTCAGGATGACTTGTATTAGGGCAATCCATCCCCAACTCACTATATTTTAAATTTGATTCAAAATGGTTCGCCAGGGAAAGAAAAATCCTGACACTCCCCCTGCCCCCACATACACACAAATAAAGAAAGAATTTAGCATTCACACCAGAATTTAGGACTATGATTGTATTCTACACTAAACACAAATGAACACTAATTTTACCAAAGTCCACCTCACTGCAAGTTCCTTCAAGATTCACTCAGCACTTAAGGCAGTCTGGGGTTACTGTCTGAATTGCAAAATACACCATTTGCCCAGAAACTGCTCTCAGCTCAAATGCAAACTGCTTACAAAACATGTGTAAACCATGCTTAAAACAGGCTGCACACATCCACAAAAATCCATTCAAAGCAAAGGTAAGTGGAAAAAAAGCAGCGCAAATTGGGCTTCTCTTTAAAAACTGGAGGCACTTTTACGGTGTTTCCAAAAGGTAATTGCTTTTTACTTCAGTAGAAGTCGCTTTATGTGACTGGGAGAAGGAGTTGATTTTTTCTTTTTCCTTTAAACCGAGTGTATAACAGTATTCAATTAGAAAACTGGGTGGGTGGGAGAGCCCACTGGCAAAATCTAACTCAATCACCAGGCCCCGGCGCCCTGGAGAGGCCCACCCAACACACGAGCTAAAATGGAGCCTGAATTTCCTCTCAGACGAGAGGGTAGTCGCACGAGGTCAGGGTCAAGGTCACCAGCAGGGCAGGCTGCAGCTGCCCGGCCGCAGTACCCTCCGCGGGAGGGAAGGCGTTCCGTCTCCGTCACCACTGAACAGATAAATCCCTTCTCCGCTCCTACCCTCCCTCTCACCCCGCCAAGATTTTTTTTTTTTTTTTTTTAAGGAGAGAAGAAAGGAAAATGACCAAATAACCTCACCGCCCCGGTTTTCGCACACCAGCTCATCAGCGCCCAAAGTTGCCATCTAAGGGCAAGTTCGCAGAGAACACTGAAGCCCGTTTTGTCCGAGCAGGGGAAGCCTCTCCCGACCGCCGCCCCCCTCCCCAGGATTCCTGCCTCCCGTCCCTGCCCCCACGCGCCCCCGAGAAGAGCTGGGAAGCGCGGCGGGCCGGCCATGTGCACGCACACACTTCCACCAACTGCTGCGAGTTTTCTGTGAATCGCGGCGCGGAGCCTCCCAACTCGCCCTCCCCGACTCCGCCGCCTGCTTCCCTCGCACAAAATTTCCCTACACACGCAGCCGCCTGCGAACGATTTTATGTGCATATATATTACATATGTGATATTATCCTCAGAACCTCTAGCGGGCAGGCGAAGAAAGGACTGCACAGGGGCATTTTTTTTTTTTTTTTTTTAAAGGAAGGGGAAAAAAAGCACAACCCAAGCTCTGTGCGTCGACTCCTGCGTACCGGGAAGGGGAAAGAAAGAGGAATGTTTGCCGAGCGGGCTGCCTGCAAGTGCCCTTGCTCGCCACTTCGGCCGCGGCCCGAGTGACACGGAGGCGCCGGGGGGCGCCCGGCCCGAGCCACCCGCGCCCCCTGCCCGTCCCCCCGGGCCGGCACCGCCGCGGAGATTTCGCGAGGGGGAGATCGATCGCGCTGCCTGTCTGCAGCGGAAACGCACACGCTCACACAACCCGAGCCCGAGACACCATAACCTTAACCCTTCCCCCACCCTCCGTGAACTTCAGGTGACCGACCACGTCGGCCTGACACCCCGGCGGGCGGGCGCTCCGGCTCCGCTCCCGCCCCCAGCCCGGGTTTTGCAGGATCGGGCTCCGAGCAGCGCCAAACCGCCGAGAGAGGGGAGCAGTGCGGGGTGGGGGGGGGGGGTCGGGGGGGGAAGAGAAGAGAAATTGACCCTCTGTCTCCCCCGACCCCTCCCTCCGGCGCCTCCGGCGTCCCCTCCTCCCCGTCACCCCGCCCCACGCCTTCTCCCCTGCCCCCTCCTCCCTGCATTCAAGGAGCCGGGCGGCCCCGGGGGATATTTTTAGTTGCTTCTTTCTCCTTCACTTTTAGCTTTAGCAGCATCTCGGAACACTCAAAGCGGAGAAAGATGGGGGTGGGGGGTGGGGGGTTGAGCTGGAGAGGGAGTGGGGGAAAAGTTAAGAGACTCGCAAAGAAAAGCCGGAGGGAGGGCGGAGAGGGACCGGGGGCGCGGGTGGAGGAGGGGACGGGGACCGGGCCGTGCGGCGGGTGTGTGTCTCCAGTTGGTGTGTGTGGCTGCAGCCGGGGAGGGCTACGATGCACTTTAGTCCTGGACTCTGCTCAGGCTCGCCGGGGAGGGGGGTCTGAGAGCCCGAGTCTCGCCCGGCTCCGTCTGCTCCGACTGACCCCGCATTTTATTGCGGCCAGGAGCCCTGCTCCTCCCTCCCCTCGGCTCTGCAGGGACCTCGCGCGCCGCGAGCCGCCCTGCCTCCTGCCTCCGCCTCGGCGCAGCTCCCGCACCCCACATCCGCCCGCCGCTGCCCGGCCTCGCCCCCCGCCCGGCCGCCCCGCGCCCCGGCGCGCCCCCTCGCCCCGGCGCCGCGGGAGCAGCCGCCCGGCGGCGCGTGTGTACCCGTGTGTTTGTGTGCGGTGCCCCCACACCCTCCTCGCCGCTCCCGCCTCGCCCGCCCCCGACTCCCCTCCTCCGCCGCCACCTCCGCCTCCTCCTGCTCCTGCCGCCGCCGCTGCCGCCGGCGGCTCCGGGGCCGACCAACCCCGGCGCAACCTTTAGCCGGAGACGGACCTCTCCCTGGATCCCGTCCCCGGCAGGCGGCCGCGCGCCCTCGCTCCGACACCCCCAAACGCCATGTCACGGCCCCCCAGCCCTCCGCGCGCCCCGACCCCCGCACCCTCGGGCACCGGGGATCCGCAAGGAATTTTTTTTTTTTTTTTAAAGATTCCAAGCTCTCCCACCTCCCCTCCACCCCCCGATTTAAAAAAAAAAAAAACCCGGCATCCACACTACTCCCCTCCTCCCGTCTCTTGCCCCCTCCCCCCAGCCACCCGGAGTGAGGAGGGGGAGGGGGAGGGAAAGGGGAAAAAAGCCCGATCGCAAGGAAAAAAAGAGGGGGGTGAGAGAAAGAAAGAAAAAGAGAGAGAGAATAGAAAGGGCACGGAGCTGATCATCACCAACATGGCTGCCTCAGCATAGACCTAAGCGAGGAGTAACCCGGGCTGTGTCTTTGTCGGTTTCACCTCTGTAACCCTAAACTAATGCAGAAAACAACGGAGGAGGCTGCGGAGAGGAAAGAGGAGAGGGAGGGCGAGAAAATGGCACGAGAGGCGGTGGAGAAGGGGCGACTTACGTGAGGGAAGGCGCTTGGGCTGCTCCTGCTTCCTCCTGGGCATTTTCCCCCTTTTCTCACATTCTCCTCCTTGGTTAATGTGAGATCAAATAAACCCCCGTGGGGGCAGAGAGGCAGACTGGCAGGAGCGGGGAGGTAGTTGGGGGGCGGGCGGGCGGGCAGGGGGAAACCCCTTCTCTCCGGTGTGGGCAATGGGTTGAAGCTTGTTTCCTGGAGCCAGAAGAGGGGTTTTCTTCTTTTCTTTCCTTTCTTTTTTTTTTTTTTCTTTCCCCCTTTTTTTTTTTTTTTTAATTTTTTGGTCGTGCACCTGGCTTGTCCCCGAGCGTAATATTCTTCAATGGAAACAGATCTAATAGGTGTGAGTGTGTGTGCATGCCCTGTGCTCGCGTGTGTGATGGGAGGTATAAATAAATGAGTGCCGGTGCGGCGGCGTCTATGGCCGCGCTGTGTCTCCGAGCCCCTAACACTAATGTCGGGATCAAAGGGCAGCGGCGGCGGCAGCACAGCTCACAGCTCGCTCTTGCTCTCTCTCTCTCTCTCTTTCTCGCTCGCTCTCTCCTCTCGCGCTCTCTCTCCCTCTGTCACACACACACACACACTCACACACACACACACCGAGGCACAGACCGAAGGAAAGAGCGAGAGCTAGACACGCGCGCACACACACAGCAGAGAGGAAGGTGCCCTAAGGCTCCCAGGACGGACTCAGCCTGGGATTTGCAACCGCTCTGTCTGGAAAGAATGGGGGGCGCGCGTGCGGGGGTGGGATGGACTTCTGCGAATTTATCCCGCTACTCGCCAGATCTAGGGGGAGAAAAAGTTTTTCCCACTCTTGAAACGAAGATTAGTTCATTATTCTTCTTGATTTGTCCAGAGGAAAAAAGGGTTTTCTCTTAACTTCCTTTTTGTTGATTAAAGTACATTTTGTTATGTATAAAAATTCTTCAGACTTTTGCCACTCAAAGAACTACTGTCTCACCTCATCACCTGAACTCTGTGGAGGTGACAGTCTTCCACGCACTCTCCAAAAACGTTCCAATAAAAATAACGAGAATAAAAAGATAACATATGGTGAAATCAGTAACTAGGTGGATGGACTACGCGCCGGGTTTTGAACTGTCCAGTGGAGTTAAAACTGGAAAATGCCTAAATGAAAATTACAGCTCCTTGACAAAGGCGGGATAAATAAGATTAGGTCACCCCTGATGCTTGATTTAACTGCTACATGATATTCCTACAGTGCACACAACAATCTTGACTTCTGAAATTTACTTTTTCCCCTGCTATAATGGAGGTGTGTGAAGCTTACCCTAAAGCAATTCCAGTTTGCATTATGAGCTCAATATAGCAGTTTTCATTAACTGATACATACTTTCATTACTTTACAAATCACACATCTTTCTTCAAAGAGAGACATAAAGGGGAAAAAATAGAAAAGGATGGGTCTCACTCCAGCACAAAAGGTATTTGGTGAAAGAGGACTGTTCTCTTTGTGACTTGCAGTCATTTGGATAAAAGTTCACTCAGAGGTTGTTAATGATTTAAACTCCAAAATCTGCTACTATAATTGAAGTAAAAAACGGTCTGAAGAAGAGTTGTTTCATAAAACTCTCTTTGTAAGAGAAAACTTTGAACTTAGCAGAATACATTATATGTTATGAGTCAGATGTAGCGAAAAAATAAAAAAGGTGCATTATTTAACTACATCTTCCCTTTTTAGCTTTTTAAAACCTCTGACTCATCATCTTATTATGTTAAATATTTTCTTACAAATTTTAAAATAGACTTTTTCATCAAAGAAGGTGGAGGCACGGCAAAGATACAGAACATTAAAATGACACTCCATACGCTTACATGGATAGATAACGCCTGTTTGAGGTTCTCACTGAGTTTTCACAACTGGAGTGGTATTCAAGACAGTGATGGGGGTTACTTCTGTAAACATCCATTCAAAAATAACAATAAGCTTTCATAATGCACACTTTTCTTAGAGAAGCTTAAAAAGTGTTTTATCTCCCAAAAGATGTTTTTCATTGATAGTGAAATCTCAGGATGAAACTCTCACTGCCAGCTCCCCCGAAAGACCTAGCTTCCCAGTGACAAGTAATGCTATCTGAAGCAGGTTTTGAAACACCTGCTTGAATTCAATCTAAAACCAAACAGAGAGCAGTCAGGTTTGAAATGGAGCATCAGTGCTTAAACCAACTCTTACTTGAATATTGGCTTAAGTGAACTGATGGGCTTCTCTGTTAGATCAGTGGTAAAGCAGACTCGGGTTCAATCCCTGGGTTGGGAAGATCCCTTGGAGAAGGGAATGGCAACCCACTCCAGTATTCTTGCCTGGAAAATCCCATGGACAGAGGAGCCTGGCAGGCTACAGTCCAGGGGGTGGGGAAGAATTGGATACAACTAAGCGACTAAATAGCAACAAACTGGTAGTTAAGTCTCCTCAAGTTCCAACTTGAAGTAGAACTGTCTTCCAACCCAGATCAAATTCAACGTGGGCCATGATTTTTGACTACCATCGGTAGCATTGGGCATGATATTAGTATATGAATGGTAAATTAGATAAATTTTTACATCGATTCATTGCCATGAACATGTAGCATCTCTTAACCTAACACAAGATGGGCAGAATGGTCACAGCACTTCACCACTGCTCACTCCAAGCCTGTAGCTGAGCTATGGAGGACTATCACTCTGCACAGACACACCATCACCTCTTTTTGAATTGCCAGCTCTTTCCAATGCTTCAGTTCAGTTCAATTCAGTTGCTCAATCGTGTCCGAGTCTTTGCGACCCCATGCTTAGTACCTTATAAAAGAAAACACACTTGAGGCCTTTCCTCAAAGTAGAGTACATTTCCTGCAACCTTTTAAAGGCATGCAGACAAATGCTATCAACATTTAATTATATAGGTGTTCTATCAAGAGCCAAAACCATTTTTAATTGAATTTGTTCATACCCTGCCTCTTTCCAAAAATCATTTGAAGTAGCGCACAGCAACAGAAAATGGAAATAAGGACAGAACAACTTATGCTTTAATCTCAGCTTGGAATCTCAGCTACAAAGCACCCTTCAAGGGCCCTGCATCTCCCCCTCAAAGCCTAGATGTTTAGGGAACACAAACTAATTTTAGCATTTGACTAACCTAAAAATATTAGGAAGATAAATAGCTGGAGGTTACTATAATGGATTTCAAAATCAAGTGGATAAATAATTCGGGAAATATGTACCTTTTGGATGCCTTTTCCCATGAACTTGGATTACTGTTGACTGCGGTCATCAAGTTGTAATAGTCTATATGATTCACCCTTGTGGCCCAAGCTTTTGAAAGCATATTTTATCTTAATAGTTAGAGTACTCTCTCTACCTCCATCTCTATCACCTCTCAAATGTAAGATTAAGATGGATTTTCTCAGAATTGTACATTCTAAGACGATGTTTCATAAACACTCACTCTCCTAGGAGTAATTCTATTCTTCCTCAAATATTCCTAAGGGTGGTGGACAGGGGAGCACCCTCCCTAGAATAATGTGTGATCTAGAGAAGTCCCTGAGATCAAAACTGTTTTCAGAATATTATTTGCCCTTTTATCTGTGTTGACTGATGCTTAAAAGCAATGGTAATAAAATGCTGGCAACTTAGCAGCTCAAATCAAGACAATGGCACAAAAATGTGTCGTATTAGTGGTCATTCTCTTCTTCACTTAGAGAAAAGAGAAGAGGTTCATTTAAGAATGTCCTTGATGGAGCAGTAAAAGTTATTAATTTTATTAAATCTCAACCCTTGAGTGCAAGACTTTTAAATATATTCTTTGTGACAGAATGTTAGGTACATATAAAGTACTTGTGCTGCACACTGAAGTACATCGTTATCTCAAGGAAAATCACTCTTGAGATGGTTTGATATAGCTGCTTTTTCCATGGAAAATTATTTTTACTTGAAGGAATGACTGACAAACTGTGATTATTCAGACTTGAGTATTTCTCCAAAAATGAATGAAGTGAGCCTGTAACTTCAAAGAAAACAATTCATGATATTTTTTGGTAATGATAACATTTGTAGTTAGGAGTGAAAATTAGAATTTTAGACAACTGTGTCTATCACTGTGACTTTCAACAGCTTCCTGATATAGACTTTCCTGATGAGATTCATAGTGATATTAATGAATGTGACTTTTTGATATTGTGTCAACCTTTTGGAAGATCTGAAGAACTCAGTATTTTCCAAATGACCAATACAGGATGTTGCAAAATCATATTGTAGTAAAGATCTATTTAAAGTACAAGATAAACCAAAGGATTTTAACTTAGTGTAAAAAGGTCATTGACGTGGTTTCAAATTTCACACTGTCAGTAACTTTTAAGAAACTACCACTCATGAAGTTTTAGTGTTACATCAAAGAAAAATATCTACAATTATCTGAAAAACCTATTAAAATCTTCCTCCTTTCTTCAACTACATATCTGTGTGAGGTTTGATTGTCTTCTTGTGTATCTTTAACCAAAGCAACATATCACAACAGATTGAATGCAAAAGCAGATAGGAGAATCCAGCTTGTCTTCTAGTAAGCCAGACACTGTAGAGAGTTGCAGAAATGTAAACTAATGCCACTCTTTTCACTAATTTTTTTTTTTGTTTTGAAAAATATATTTTTCATAAGAATGTGTTAACTTGAATTACACTTATTGTTCTCATTATATAGGAATTAAATAATTATTTTAGAAATTCCACAGTTGTTATATAGTATATATCAAGTCATAACCTACATAAACAACAGTTCTTTGGAATCCTCAATAATTTTAAGCATATAAGAGATCCCTAATTCCATAAAGTTTGAGAACCACTGCCCTAGAGATAAGTTGAGATACAATTAAGGGACAAAAGAAATTCTATGAGTATTTTACTTGTCTCCAAACCCAATTGTAAATATGCTACACTTCTGAAAAAATGAAGCCCTCTTATCTCCAGGAAATGAAATTTGGTTCTGTGGGTCCCAAGACTGGCTTCTCTTATGTGATTTCTCATGAAATGCAGAGA